ATGGACAATGAATAGACAATGGATGGAGCATGGATGGACAGTGGATGGATGGATGGACAATGGCTGGACAATGGATGGACAATGGACAGTGGATGGATAATGGATGGATGGACAGGGATGGAGAGTGGATGGACAAGGGATGGACAATGGATGGCTGGAGAAGGGATGGACAATAAATGGACAATGAATGGATGGAGAAGGGATGGACAGTGGATGGATGGATGGAGAAGGGATGGAGAATAAATGGACAATGAGTGGTTGGAGCATCCCCATCTCACCCGTGTCTCCCCCCAGGGCACGTGCTCTACGCCGACATCAAGATGGAGAACGGCAAGTCCAAGGGCTGCGGGGTGGTGCGCTTCGAGTCCCCCGAGGTGGCGGAGCGCGCGTGCCGCATGATGAACGGGATCCAACTGCGGGGCCGCGAGATCGACGTGCGGATCGACCGCAACGCGTAGAACCGGGCTCAGCCAGGCCCGGCCTAGCCAGGCTCAGCCTAGCCAGGCCCAGCCCAGCCCAACCGGGCCCTGCCGTTTGTATTTCTCTTGTTAACCATCTTCTTTTGACTGGATGTAAAGGTGTTGAGCCCGAGCCGGTTGCTTTCTGGAGTAATTTTAAGTCCTTTTTTTAACCGAGGGAGCCCCATTTTACTGGTTTTTTGCATTGGAACTGCCATGTGCACAATCTTTTTTTGTAGTTGTGGCATCTCGTTGACCTGACAGATGTAAACAGTCTGACTTTGATAATAAATGCAAGTTCAATATTTCAGTCACAGCATCCTTTACTTGGTTTAAAACCCCTTCAAGCTCAGCTCAGCCAGCTCTGATTTCTGTTCTGTGATGTGTCCAAAAACCTCTTGGGTTTTCTGGCAGAATCTGCCCTGAAAATGTTTCCTGGGTGCAGATTTGGCCTTTCCTGTGTCCACCTCACCGTGGGCACTCCCAGCTCAAGGTTTTTCTCCAGTGGTTTTTCTCCAGTGCCAATGCTCCTTTTAAAAAAAGAATTTCCTGTGCCCCGGGTTGTGTCAGTGCCACTGGGAAGGCCTGAGCTGGAACTGGACATTGCTGAGGGGGTCTTGGTGGGTTTGGGGAGGGTCCGGGACATTTCCGAGGGTCCCGGGGGGTTCGGGACAATGCCAGGGGGTTCGGGAAGGCTCCGGGACATTCCCGGTGGGATGGGGAAGGGCCCAGGACATTCCCGAGGGGGTCTCGGTGGCTTCGGGACATTCTCGGTGGGTTGGGGACATTCCCGGTGGGTCCGGGAAGGCTCTGGGACGTTTCTGGTGGGTCCCAGAGGCTCCAGGACATTCCCGGGACACTCCCGGTGGGCTCGGGAAGGCTCCGGGACATTCCCGGTGGGGTCCCGGTGTGTTCGGGACATTCCCGGTGGGTTCGGGACGCTCCTGGTGGGCTCGTGAAGGCTCCGGGAACGTTCCCGGTGGGTTCGGGACATTCCCGGTGGGTTCAGGACATTCCCGGTGGGCTCGGGAAGGCTCCGGGACGGTCCCAGGGGGTCCGGGAAGGCTCCGGGACATTCCCGATGG